AGTTTAGATAAAGGAATACACACACGCATGAGAATTATATATGCAAAAGGAAAAAATACGAATAGAACACATCATCTGATTAATAGTGGACATTATAGGGGAATAGAATTAGAGGGAAACCAGCCATTTTACTCTCCAAAGTTTGACTTTCTTATAATGAGCATGTATCACCTCATCCTCTCCTTGAATGTTTGAATGTCTTCACTAACTGAACTAAGAAACACTAGGTGGAGGGGAAGTAGTCTTTTTATGGGAACATGACAGAAAAACAAAAAGGAAGACTTACAGTGGGTTGTTTTTTACAGAGATGCTACCAAAAAATTTAAAAGGTAGAATAGCCCAGGTTTATTTAACAGCTTCTGGCTCTAAGGATTGTGACATACCATATTTGGCCACAAAATATCCATTGCTTTTAGGACCAAGAATAATAAAAGTGCTGGTTGCTGCAGAATCCTCTCCAATATCCTGAAGATATTACAACTTAGCACTTGGGAAATCTAATGGTTTTTACACGGCCCAAATGCATCCATCCAATTAGAAAATTAGAATTTGAAAGTTGGATTCAGGTTTAACGCTTATAGGCCCCTGCTTTCAGGGTGACTGTCTCAGCACCTGAGGAAGATGGAGCGGCCTCAGATAGCCTCCTAGTGTTCTGATACATGCAACAACACGGATGAACCTCTAATGCACTATGCTAAGTGAGAGAAGCCAGAATTGAAAGGCTATATACTGTATGATTTCATTTTTGTGTTACTCTGTAAAAGATAGAACTGTAGGGACAGGAAACAGATCACTGGTTGCCAAGAACTAAAGATGACGATAGGGACGTGATGACAAAGGAGCTTGAGGGAACTTTTGAGGGTGATGGAAATATTCTGTATCTTGAATATTGTGAAGGTTACTTGACTATCTGCATTTGTCAAAATTCAAAGAACTGTACACCTAAAAAGCATGAATTTTATTGTACATAAATTATACCTCATCAAACCTAACTTTAAAAAAAAAACGTGTTCCTGGAGATACTGTGTACATGGAGAGAAAGGCAGATTTTATAAATTTTTTGCTGGTGAGTTTCACATTTAAATAAACACCAGCAATTTACACAGGGAGAACAGACAATGTCATTTCGCTGCTCCTACCTGCATTTCCACTCGTGACCTGAGCTCCATGAGGCACAATGATCTGCCCACTCAGCAAGGGCCGGGGTTCGGAAGAAGGGAAAAGATAATGAAGTGAAGTAGCAGGCCAGCTCTGTGGGCAGCAGAGGGGGCTGGGTCAAGCCAAAGTGGTTTATCCCTGAAGCTGCTCAGTCACTCCCCTAGTTAATTATCTGTCTGCTGATTCATGAGTTGTGGTTCCTGTGGGCATGCTTCCTGGCTATTCCTGCCAACAAGGGCAGAAGGATTTCTAGGGCTGGGAGGGGATGATAACCAGAGATCCCCAAGTGGGGTGGGGAGTTGCAGAGGAGGAATTTCTACTAGGAAACTCCAGAGTCATATCCAGACTCCCCCTCCTCACTGCTGCCTCCTTGTCCCATCTTATGCTGCCCCCAGAAGACTTCTTGCCACTCACACTCACAATTTTGAGGTGGGCAGAGAAGAATGCTGCCCTCCTGTGTGTCTCCTCCCAGGAGGGGAAAAAAAGGTAGACAATTCACAGAGGGTCCCCTGAGTTTCCAGCACCCTCAGATCAGAGGTCTAAATGGCACAATAGCACAGAGATCCAAATGCCCAAAGAACCCACGGTCTCAGCTACATTCTAATATCCTCCAGAATGCCCAGAGGGAGCATTTGAGGATCTTCTGTGAATGAATGCAGATATTGAAATGTTGTATTTCTTAAACTGAGGCACATCACCTCTAGATGTCTTTCTATAGCATTCCATAGATATTTATTTTGGCCGCCTATGTGCCAGGACTGGGCATAGAGTGTTGAACAAATAGACATGTCCTTCTCCTCATGGAACCTGAAATCTTGTGAATGTCTTTTACTTTTCTCTTTTCCCAAGACAGGACTTCAGGTTTTCTCATGAATAAAGCAAATAGATGAGCCTCTCTCCTCCTTGGCCTCTTCTGTGGGTTCTTGCTGGGTGAGAGTGGCTGAAATATGCCAAGCCACCAATGTGGAAGGGTTGAAATAAAAAGGGGGCTCCTGTCAGATAGGTGTGGGAAAAGGGTCCCCATTGGCCTCATTCTGGGAGCCTGGATTGCACTCGTGCATGAAGCAGGGCAGCTCTTGCCTCCAATCCAAGGTAGATACCATGGATAGGAAGAAGAATGACAATAGTAGTTGCCATGTATTGATTATTTATTTTGTGCCTTTATCTCATTTAATTGGCATAAGCATAGAAGTATTATTTTCTCTGCTTTACAAATGAGGAAACTGAGGACTCAAGAGATTGAGTAACTTGCCCAGGGTCACGCAGCCAATAAGAGGCAAAATCAAGAATTAAGCCCACATGTGACTGGCTTTAAACCATAGCTGTCCCTTCCCCCAGCCAACAAGCCTTCCTCCCACATCTTTCCAGGCCCTGAGGAGTTCCTGCAGAGGAACCTTTGACTGGAGAGTTTCCAGGATGTAAACACCAGAGGAGAAATCAGCACCTCAGCTCAAAACTCATCATAAGTACTTAGATGGTGATAGCAAACAAAACTTATCCATTAGGTCTCAGGTTAGAATAAAGACCTATACATGGGGAAGCCACAAAACCCAATACTTCTTGGATGAAGGTAAAAAGATCATCTTTGTACTCAAATTCCAAAACTCAATTCTACCCTCAAACAACCTCTCTTCTCACTATACAAGACTCTCCTACTCTGGGACAGCCTCTCTATGCCACTCCCACCCAGCTCTTTCTGTGTCCCTTAAACATTGTGTGTCCCAACACAGCTCTCCTACTCTCATCCTGCCTCCTGCTTCCCCAGGGATCTGGTGACACCTGCAACCCGGCCACCAACACTGGGGTGGGGGATTTAAATATAATCAAAACTGCTTTTACTGGGGGCTTATTACTCTGGCAGTCTCATTCTAGAGCCCGAGACTTAAATACTACTCTATCCTGCCTCTCAGAGGGAGCCTGGGGCTAGCTCAGCACAATCAGTCACCACTGCTGGAATCGCCCAATCACAACAAATCTGTGAAGAGACCTCCTAGAGGATAATGTAAACTTAGGTATGTCAATACAATGGAATCCTATATAGATCATTGCAACTATGTAACCCAGATCAACAAAAGATATACTAGGAGTGAAGGGTGGAGGGAGAGACACTCAGATAACAAATACACTCTATCTTCACTAATATTGAACCAAGCACAATGCTAGGCTCTTTCTTATGTTACCTTACTTACTTCTAAAACTGAAAGAAAATATGATTAGACTCAGAAATCATCCAGAAATTCAGAAAGCTGTGGATGTGAAAAGAAAAGAAAGCAAAAAATGTTTTAAGTTCATAGAAGCAGGCATGTCCGTAGGAGACAGCTGAACAGCCCTTCCGTAGTTCTCCACTACCCCCATAAACAGCAGCAGCATGTGAACCAAGGCTCTAACATCTCCCAGGGCGGAAGGCTGGAGATTCACACTTCTGTGCCATGGTCATCAAGCTGCTCTCTGCAGGCTACAGACATCAATTGACATGTTTGGGCTTCTCTCACATGGGAAGTTTCAGCAATAATAGCTTAAAGAGCACCCTATATATTATTTGTAACTCCTCCGTCAAGATAGCGTTCATAGATTGTGGTGATGGTTTCACAGGTGTATATTATTTCCAAACTCATCAAGGTGTATACATTAAATATACACAGCTTTTTGTATGTCACTCATACCTCAATAAAGTGGTTTTTGAAAAAAGAGGTTAGCATAGGGCTGATCTTCCTCACACACACACAAAAAAAGATATTGTTGCCCTGTCCTGTATAATCTCTCTCTATATCTATATCTATCTATATCCACATACACACAAAGTCTTGAAGGCAGTCATCAAAGTACTTTGATGTACCGATGATCAGTAAATCTCACTTTTTTTAATACATTCTGCAGGATCTAAATTATCTTACAATGAGTACTACTCCTTTCATTAAAAGTACATATATGCACATTTGTGCGTCCTCTGCAGAGGAATGGCCCCAGCCGACCAGGAGCCAGAGTTCTCCCTGGGAAGGTCACCAGGGCTGCGGAAGGACCAGGGGCAGCATCCCTGGGCTGTGCTCTGCTCTGCCCCTCCATCCTCTCCCCAGCACCAATGAGGCCGAATGCCAACCGCCTTGGCAGCTGATGGTGCGTGCAGCAGCAGGAGAGACAAAGCCAGGGATCCGAGCCAGCTCCAGGGACCCTTGGCGTGGCTCCTCGCACACATGGAGATCTTTTGGACGCAGTGTCTGTTCCGGAAGCAGAGGCACCGCTGCCACCCAGGAACACTGTGGGAGGCAGAGCCCTCAGCTTTCTCCGAATCGCTCCCGCGGGGTGCCACCAAGTATTTACACACACAAAAAAAAAAAACTTGAGAAAAAGTGTAACACAAGGAGAAAGAGGGATGTCGAATAACTGGCAAACCCGCGCGCGCGCTACACTCGCAGCCGAGAAGCTACAACCACATCCCTCCGCCAACGCGCGGGAACAGCCTCGGGAAGCCCCAGCTCGCCTTGCCTATTCCGGCCAGTCATTCCTCGCACGGCCGGGACCACTTGCGACGCGCGCAGCCGGGGCTGAACACGGGGCTCAGAGATGCGCCCACTGCACCGCGCGCGGCGAGGCCGCCCGGGGCAGGCGCCTAACCCGGCTAATGGCTTCGGCGTCCCGGAGGACCTGCCCGTAGGTAGCCTCTCACCCTGCCACTGCGGGGCCGGGAAGGTCCCCAGCTCCGGGCTCCGACGACCCAGCCTGGCCCCGCGCAGGAGCCGCCCGCCCGGGTTTCCTCACTCCAAGTCTTCAAACTTGGCTGCGGCAGGACGCGCGGCGTGGATCACCGGAGAGCCGCGTCCCCGAGGCGCGGGAGCCTCACTCACCTCCGACGCCGACGCCCGCCAGCGCCCCCAGCACCAGCACAGCGGCCCAGAGCCGCCGCGCTCGCATCTCGTCCGCCCGCCGCCGTGCTCCGCCTCGGCCGCGCCCTCCCGCCCCACAGCGAGCAGCGGCGCCCGCGGCCACTTTTCCCGCAGCGAGAGGGGCGGGGACGCGGTGGGTGGGACGTAACGGGGCGGGCCGCGGACTCGCGCTTCCTCCCCGCCGGCCCTTTTCTGGACCCTGCCCCCGAGATGGGGGCGGTGGGAAACCGCGGCTCCTCTCTCCCCGCTTAGCCTCCGGCGGTGAGGATCTGCCTCGATGCGCATGAGAGGCGAGGCTGGGTCTGGAGGAGGGTCTCGGGCACATCCTCCCAGGGTTGTCCTGGTCCCAGGGCTCCGCGCCCAGGCATTTGGTATGCTTAGAAAGGCCGGGAGCCTGTGGCCCCTCCTGACCTAGTCCCACCTCTCCGGGGACATCCACAGGGCTTTCTCTTTCGCCTGGATTCCTCAGGCACTTTCCCTCTGTGCCTTGAATTTCATTCATTCATACTTTCATTTGTTTAATTGACAAACCTGTTGAATGCCTACGCTGTGCTGGACACCAGTTTAGTCTCTTATTATTAACTAATTTTTCTCTTGGGTTAGTGTGGTTTTCCGGTAGACTGTAAGCCTTTTGAGGACAAGACTACATCTCAACCTTGTGTAAGCAGTGATGTTCATATAGGGCCTCTCTCTACAAATACTTGCTTGCACATATTAAGTATCTGAAAAAAGTTTCAGGACACAGTCAATATACTGCCTCCAAACTCACTTGATAAAGCTTTAGAGCTTATCATATTTTCCTCAAAGGCCTCTTGCCTCCCCCCTGCCTCCCCCACAATCCTTCTTCTGGGTCCCTGAGTCTTCCCCAGTCTAGAAACCTCAGGATGCTCAAAGGGCTAAATGCTAGGGCTTTGAGCAGGAGGCCACCAGTGGCTGGGCTGGTGCAGGCTGCTGCAACGGGTAGCTCTAATGATGATAACAAGGCTTGAGGCGTCAGAGAGGATCTGGAGTTCTCACTAGCCCCTGGGCTCCCCTAAGGGCTTTCAGGCTGCCCCTGGGCTCCCCTAAGCCCTCTCCTGAGACACACAAGATGCCTGAAAACTGGCCCTGACTGACTCAGCTCAGCAGCCTCATCTCCCACCCTAGCCCAGGAAGATACTTAGCATTCCCAAACACTTCATGCCTTTCCAGCTGAGTGATCTTCCTTCCTTTTCCCACCTGGAAAATTCCACTTATCTTTCAAAACATCTCAGATGTCATCACTTCCATGTAATCTTGTCTGATATCTCTCCTCCTCCAGCACCACCCTCTGCAGAGGTGAGCACTCCCTCCTCAGACCTCCCAAACACTAGGACACACCAAAATAGTAGCACACATCAGCAGAAGCGTCACTGGCAATTTGCAAGGGGCAGGGGAGGGGCCAGGGTAGCTGGGCTTCCTGATCTGGGCTTTGAGACTCCAGCACCATAGACCTCCCCTAGCTGGTGGAGGGCATCTAGGCCAGAAGCCACTTCAACAGCGTTGTCATTGCCCTGGTACAAAATCCAGGTCACGCAGCCTGGTTGCATCTCTGCCTAGATAAATATTTACTTATTTGCTCAATTCTCATATATATAACCAACCTCCCAGTCACCTCAGTGTCTCCTCAGCCTAGCTCTGCTGGCACCAACCATTTGGGGTGGCCACTGGCCCAGAAAACATGCTGTCTGAGTCCCCAGTCTCTTCAACCCGAAGAACTTCCTTTAGCAAATATTGTGATGAAGGTCCACTGGCAACAAATATGCTCTCCTTTCATCTGTTTCACCCTCATTTTTAATGATATTTCTTAGATATGGATTCCTAGGTTGACAGGTGATTTTTTTTCTTGCAGTACTTTAAACATGTTGTTCCATGGTTTCTGATAAATCAGCTATCGTTTACATTCTTGTCCTGTCTTTTCCCTCTGGCTTTTTTTTTTTTTTTTTTTTTTAAAGTTTTTTTTTTTTTTTTTTTTCCCCCCAAACCCCCAGTAGATAGTTGTGTGTCATAGCTGCACATCCTTCTAGTTGCTGTATGTGGGACGCGGCCTCAGCATGGCCAGAGAAGCAGCGCGTCGGTGTGAGCCCGGGATCCGAACCCGGGTCGCCAGCAGTGGAGCGCGCTCACTTAACCACCAAGCCACGGGGCCGGCCCTTTTTTTTTTTTTTAATTTTTAATTTTGGAATCATTTACACTTACAGAAAAGTTGCAAAATGCTAGAGAAAGTTCCCTTTTATCCTTCACCCGGTTTCCCCTAATGTTAACATTTTGTATTACCATAACGTAATTATTGAACACAGGAAATTAACATTGATACAATACTATTAACTAATCTAGATACAACATTTGAATTTTGCCAATCTTCCCACCAATGGGAAAATGTCTTTTTTCCAGTCTAGAATCCAATCCAGGATCCCATATTGTATTGTCATCATGTCTCCTTAGTCTCCTTCAATCTATGACATTTTCTCAGTCTTTCATCACCTTGACACTTTTGAAGAGTCTAGGCCAGTTATTTCGTAGTATGCCCCTTACTTCGGGTTTGTCTGATGTTTTCTCATGATTGTATTGGGGCATTCTGGATGAGAATACTGCAAAAATGATGTGCCTTGTCAGTACATCATATCAGGGGGACAGGATGACAATATATCTTACTACTTATAAGGTTAACTTTGATCACATCGTTAAGGTGGTGTCTGCCAGTTTTCTTCACTATAAAAGTTACTATTTTTATTTTTGTAGTTGATAAATATTTTATGGGAAGATATTTTAATTCTTTGCAAATATCCTGTTTCTCTTCATACTTTTACCCACTAATCTTAGCATCCATCAATGGTTCTTGACTGCAATCAATTACTGTGGCGTTTGATTGATAGTAATTTTCTATTTCCTTTTTTCCTTCTACAGCTATTAATTGATATTCCAAATAAGAAATAGCTGCCCCTTCTCTCCCGTTTTTAAAATTCAATTATTTATATCAGTATGAATTCACGGATATTTATTTTATTCTGAGTTATAAGTCAATGCTATCATTATTTATTTTGTTGTTCAAATTGTCCTAGGTTTGTCTCTGGCTACTTTTAAGTTTTCTCTTTGTCTTTGGTTTTTCAGCAGCTTCTCTGTAAGGTGAATAAGCATTGTTTTCTTTGTATTTATCCTACTTGGGGTTGATGAGACTTTTAAATATATAAGCGGTTTATTTTTAACCAAATATAGGAACTTTTAGGGCAGGTCCCGTGGCTTAGCGGTTAAGTGCACGTGCTCCGCTACTGGCGGCCCGGGTTCGGATCCTGGGCACGCACCAATGCACTACTTCTCCAGCCATGCTGAGGCCGCGTCCCACATACAGCACCTAGAAGGATGTGCAGCTATGACATACAACTATCTACTGGGGCTTCGGGGAGAAAAAGGGAAAAAAAAGGAGGAGGATTGGCAATAGATGTTAGCTCAGAGCCGGTCTTCCTCAGCAAGAAAGAGGAGGATTGGCATGGATGTTGCTGATCTTCCTCGGAAAAAAAAATATATATATATATTGGAACTTTTTAGCTGTTATTTCAGTTATTTCATCAAATTTTTTCCTGCCTATTTTCTCTCTCCTTACCTTCTGAAACTCCAATTACAAATATTTTAGATATTATCTAAATATTTATAATTATAAATTATATATGTATATATAAATTATACTTAAAATACATAAATGATATATTTATAAATTATAAATTACATATAAGTAAGTGCATATATATATGCACCCCATCTTAGGCTCTGCACTGCAATTCAGAAAGTCCCCCCAGAAAGCCCAAGCTGGGCAGATGTAGGGTTCACCTATCACGTGTTTCCCTTCCCTCAAGGATTATAATTCTGCTTTGCCTATGTTCAATGTCTAAAGCAGTTCCTCAAATATTTTGCCTGAATTTATTGTTGTTTACTATGGGAGAGCCAGTCCTGTACCAGTCACTTTGTCATAGTCAGAAGCAGAAGTTCTGTGACTATTTACCTCCATCTCTTCCACCATTACTGGACAGTGAGATCCCTGAGTGCAGGACTGTAGTTGACTATCTTCATATTTCCTAGTATGCACTTAGTAAGTAAAAAAATCTTTTCCTATTTTTTGACTTCTTAGCAGCCCTCGATAGTTAATTTTAATAAAATATTAGCTGAGCAAAGACGTTGGGGGACCTGAGTGTCCATTCTGTGATTTGGCCAAGTGCCGTACTACCCAGTCAATATCACCATGGAGCGGTATCCAATGCAGACAGGTAGGAGAGTTTCCCCAAGATCCATTTAAGAGGCAAGAGTCACATTATCTGGCCCCTTGCCCGACTGTGGCCAGGCTAACACCAATATAGGGATCCTTTTCTTGTGCTCTCATCAACAGTCTGCCCCCTTGGGGAAGCCCCACTCCTATTAAGTTCCTCACTGTCACCACTGTAAGTTGGAGAAAACAGGTTTGTGGCCATTTCTGGACGTCTTGCCTTTAAGGTCATGCTGAATTCCCCATTGTACTGAGTCAGAAGGTCTCCGGAGTCAGGTCCTTGCCCCAGCTCTTACTAGTTAGATGATCTTGAAATAGTCTCCAAATCTTCTCTATACTCATTTTCCTTATTTGTAAGAAATAACTATCTGTTCCCTGCCCTTTTCCCCATCCCCAATCCCATTCTACCCCCTCCCAAAATACACACATTGTTATGAGGTTCTATGAGGCCATGGATATGAAAGCCCTTTGGAATCTGAAAAGCACAGAAGAATATGTTCTTATTATTGTTATTATTTGTGGAGAGATTGTAGACCTCTCAACACAAATGCTTTCCTCTAGTTAAGGAGATTAAGTGTGGAGTAGCACACTGGTTCAGAATCTTCTCCTCCTACACATTTGGCAGGATGACCCAGCTGTTCCTTTGGCTTGAAGGAAAATGGGCTTTTCAGAGTCCACACTGACTAAAAATGACATAGCTTGGAATTTCTGGGCTCTGGGAGCTATCTGAGAAAGTACCCCTAATTTGTTTTTCTTTTCTTTTCTTTTTTTTTGCTGAGGAAGATTCACCCTGATCTAA